ACCTTACTACCATTTCAAACCTAGCCAGTAAGCCCTTACGGTTATAAAGCCTGAACTGCCATCCTTATTTGCCTCGACCAAGTACTCCTGTCCTTGAATCCTTGACATGCACGGATTGCTATCGGGGCTTCGTTTATAGTAAATGCACTGATGGCTATTCTGTCAGGTTAAACAACTACTCCCAAGCTGTGCAACATCACAACTGAGAATCGCCTCCTCACGTAGTGACGGCAAAGAAGCATGGCAGGATGGTCAGGAAGAATTGGCTTACAGGATATATCAAACATGGAAGGGCGCTTCGCTGGCGGTCCAGCCAAACCCTCCCAGCAGCAAATCTCGGGCAATGTCAAGCTGTTCTTAGACATGGTGCGGCTCCTTGTCCCACCTTTTAGCCCCACCTCTCCTTAGCCCTCCTTGTCCCTGCCGTCCATCCTTCCCCCCTTTCAATTGCCCTTCCCTGGCTCATCTTGCTCATCTTGCTATCCTACACTTTCGCACGCCACAGATCGCGGCGGGCGGCTTGGTGGGTTGGCAGCAGCAACAGCCGGACGAGGATTACGGTGATGAGGGGCCGATGGTGGGTCCGTTGGAGGTGGTGGACCCCCGGAGGCTGCGGAGGCACCTGGAGGCGAGGTTGCAGCGGTGAGGAGGCTGAGAGGGGTTGTATACATTCTGACAGTGCTGGAATGATATATTGAAAGGGGTTATGTCATGAAACGATCATGTATAGTGCGGTGAGGGGAGGTCAGAAGGGGGCAGGAAGGCCAGCGGGGCGGATAGTGGGGAGCAAACCAAGCATGCTAACACGACCGTAAACAAATTGATTTGGGTCGGGCCCGTTCGTCTGAGAAGCTGCTCACACGGACACAGCTGCTGCAGCTGCAAACGATGCTGCGAGGCACATCGACCACAGCTCTGGCGCCCTTAACATGACATCTGGGTTGTCACCTCTGCGTGCGTGACAGCCATCCCCATCTGGGTCAGCCATCCCCATCTGGGTCAGCCGGCTCCATTTGGGTCAGCCTGGCATCGCAAGCATAAGGCCTTCTCTCCGGGCTTGGGAAGTCCTGTGTCCCCCTTGCCTCTTCCCGCCTTTCACAGTACGGCAGTGCATGCGCTATGACTCCGGAACACCGCCCACCATACCCTTTGGGCCGCTGACCCACATCCGCTCTGACCTGCTTCACCATGCCACGACCAGGGGTCAGACGTTTTGACCGACTTTCTCAACCGCCATGACTCCCAACTCCCCTAACTCCTTCCTTCCTTCCTTAATACACCTCCCCGCTAACACGCTACCCCCCCCCAGTGACGCCTCCCTGCGGCAGCGGTGGCTGGAGGGCCTTATGGAGGCCTGCGAGGATGTGGGGGTGCTACACAGGTGCGGGTTGGGCGGACAGACGGACGGCGGAGTAGTCGGAAAGAGCAGGAGAAGCAGGAAAAGATGCCCTGACGTGACGGACCAGCGTCTCTCTCCGCATGTCCCACCATGCATGTCTACCTCATCCCAACCAACCTACCCCCAAACCCCACCTCGCACTCCACCCCATCCACCCCAATGTCCCCCCAGGGCTCTTCTCCCCATGGTAATCTCCGCTGGCCCGTGCGGGGGCCTTGCGGGTCCCCCTGGCTCCGGAACCTTTGCCCTCACTGCCGTACAGGCGGGCGGCAACTGCGGGGACTCCTTCCTGCGCTGCGTGCTGGGGGTGGCGTGCCTGCAGGTGTGTATGTGCGTGTGTGTGTATTTCGGGGTGGGGGTGGGGGTGGGAGGCGACTGGACCCCAGTATGCATGATGGCCGAGTCACGCCGCGCCGCACGCAAAGTGACGCCAGCATGCTAGCAACGGTGCGGCGACGGGGTGCACACACTCCCTGTTTCCACCCACTCTCCAACGCACAACCCTACCCTCCTCCCCTCTCCGCCCCTATCCCCTCCCTCAGGCCCCGGTCGCCACCTGGCTGCTGCAGCGGCTGCCGGTGCTTGCGATGGAGGACCCGGGCGGGGGAGGGGGAGCAGGAGGAGCGGCAGGGGGCGAAATGGGAGGAGGAGGGGGGGACGCAGGAGGAGGAGGTGGTGGTGGCGGGGGCATACCCGGGCTCATTCTGAGCCAGCTGAGATGGTGAGAGTTGATGAGGGGGAGGAAATGGAGGTGGTGGTGCTGCTGCTGCCCTTCCTTGCGCTCTCTCCATCCCTGCTCCTCTTTGCCTCCCTACTTCACCCACCTCCATCACGCCTCCGCCCCTTACTCTCCTCCATCCCACACCATCTCAGGCTGGACGTGTTTCCCTGTTCCTGCTCCTCCGCCGCCACCGCCCCCGGCGAGTCCCCCTCCTCCCTGGTGGAGGTGGTGTTGGAGGTGCTGGGCTCGCTGCCGCCGCCCCTGCAGCGGCTGCTGGTGGGGCTGCTGCCGGAGCTGGCGGGGGTGGAGGACCATGAGGTGGGCCCGGGGGGGGGGGGTAAAGAGGAAACAACTGACTGAGGGATAAGGCGTCAACATGGGTTGCAACATGTGAGCCAGCCCGACCCGCCCAGCCCGAAAGAGCGAAGCCAGTACGTGTAATGCACTGGGGGGGGAGGCTGTCATGATGGGGGCGGGGAGCAGGGCAGGAGGGGGTGGAGGATGAGGTATGGTGGTACGTGTTGCCACACGGGTGGTGCCCCAAGTGGGCTGGTTGGCGTTACCTTTCCTCCTCCGCTTCCCCCTCCACCTCCCTTCTCCATGCAGCGTATCGTAGAGCGGCTGGGTGAGCTGCTTGACTCGGAGGGCTGCTTCCTGGCGCCGGTGCTGGAGGCGCTGCAGCAGCTGCAGCTGGGGCCCGAGCTGCAGGACCAGGTGGGGGCTGCAGGACCAGGTTGGGAAGGGAGGCAAAGAGAAGAGCAACCAACCCCAGTTAGTGGAAATCACTTTCACAAGTGAGAGAAGGGGAAGAGGCTGGTATGGAAGGGGGAGGAGAGGGTAAGTGTTGCTAGCACCACTGACACTAGGCAGGGGGTAAGGATCACCCAGATGGAAGGTATGTCACAACTTCATAACTTGCCTTCCGTTCTTCCCCTTGTTTCGCGGAAAGGTCGTGCTGGACATGACTGAGCGACTGATCGCAGTCGACGCCGACGATCTGCCCGCGCTCATACGATTTGTCGTACAATACAGTACGGCAGCCGCTCCTCCATCCTTTGGTTTCGGAACCTCTGCTGCTGCTGCTGCCGGCAGCGTCCCTGCTGCCGCCGCCACTGCGCCGCGAGTGTTCGCAGCGTTGCGCGCCGGACTTCACATGGTCGACCCAAATGACCCACGGGTCAGTGTGCCTGACGTCAAGGGAAAGCGAGGCGGCGGCGGCTCGTCGTACGGCGGTCGTGGCGGCGGCGGTCGCGAGGCAGTTGAGGTCCGAGTGCTGCGGGAGTTGTCGGTTGCGCTCGCGGCAAATGACGCCGCGTGTTATGCGGTGCTGAAGGTACGAACAACAGGATGTGCGATGTCGCAATGGGTTGGAAAGAGGAAAGGGGTGTTGATGAGGCGCGCGTTGGCTGGCAACGTGGCAAGGGACTGCGCTACAATATACAGTGAAAAAAAGGATCTCGTTTCAATCTCCTTTCCTTCCCTATTCTCTACTGCTCTTCCTTCCTTCCTCTCCTCTCACAGGCCATAGCAGCGGCCGGCAGCGTTCGTACGGGCTCCTCCGGCGGCGCTTCGTCTTCCTCCGTCATCTCAGCCGCAGGAGATGACGACGCCGACGAGGCGGCGGAAGATCCAGATCCGGAGGGCCTTATGGGCGGCGGCGGCGGTGGCAAGTCCCGTGGCGGTGGTACGGCAGCGGCGGCTGCAGCGGCACTAGCTGGCGGCCCCACTAAGTTGGTGCCCTTGGATCTCTGGATCTTGCTCGTACTGCTGGGAGGACGACGTGGCAAGGAGTCGGATAAGATCCTACGAGCCAAGATCTGTGATGGTGCGACGCAACCATCACCATCTCGCTGTCAACCGCTGTCATCCCCAGCTCATTCTGTCCGCATTTTCGGTCGCTTCAGTCCCTAACTTCCTCCCTCCTGACCCCGTGAAGCCCTCATATCGTATAGTTCGTTACTCTTTTCCTCTTTATCCCCCTTTCCCTCCGCCCATGTGTATCCCCTGGCCTCGCAATAGGCTCTGCTAGCCCCTCCTGGCTCACCTCCGTGCTGCTCACCCACCCCGCGGCGCTGCGGGAGGTGGGACCGACCCTTGGGTCGCTGGCCGCGGGGCTGGCGGGCAGCCGGCCGGCGGGGGGCCCGCTGGGAGCGGCGGCGGCGAGACTGTATGCGGTCATGTTTGCAAGCGCGGGAGCGGGAGGAGGAGGAGGAGGAGGGTTTGGAGGGGAGGAGTCGGTGCAGAGGATGGTGAGGAGGAGGGAGCTGGGGAGGGGAGAGGGAGGGTCGGGAAGGCCGCCTGGTACGGTTTTGCTGTCTCGGATAGTGAGGGGAAGCGAACCGGGTATTGGACGTGCAGGTTCCTTGGCAGGCAGGACGGGATACCAACCTACCAAACCCCCCAAACCCGCACTCCCTCCCTCCCTCCTTCCCCCTCCCCCCGCCCCTTCCCCTCCCCGCACAGGAGGTCCTGCAGGCGCTGCACACGCACCTGGGGTCGGGGGTGGCGGAGGAGGTGGACACCGCGCTAGCGGCACTGGCGCAGCTGGCGGAGGGTGAGGGGAGGGGGGGGGGCAAATCAGGCCAGACCATACGAAACCATAAGGGCCAAAATTAGGGGGGAGGGGAATAAATGAGGAGTGCAGCAAATAGAGTCCCCAATTCCATATCCCGACTCAGTGACACAGTGAGCGCATGTGGTGAAGGGGGGGACTGCTAGGGATACGCCATGTTGGCACCAGAACGCACGTGTTCATGACATGCATGGCTTGGGGGGGAGTGTTTGTGGCTGGTTATTAGTAAACATGATCACTTGCCACCGCCACGTGTTGTCTAACGAGCACATCGCCCCGCACGCACAACACCCTGCCGAGCCACAGGCCCCCTCTCCAGGCCCGCTCTCTACCCTTCCGGCGTCGTCGGCGGCGGCAGTCGGCATGGCGCTTCGTCTTCCGCCGCCGCTTCGTCTTCCGCCAACGGTCCGCCTGCCCCCACATTGTCGTTGTACGGCAGCGCTCTGAGCAACTGCCTGGACCATTTGGAGGCCTTCAACGACCGGCAGTTGGCGGCGCTGTTTGACGTACTGGCGGCGGTTACCGGCGGCGCGGAAGGTACGGTGTTCGGTGTGTGTATGTGAGCGCATGCCAAGGTGCTGCCTACCTACATGCCCCCACCCACATCTATGCATATCTCTGACCCCTTGTCTATGGATATCTCTGAACCCCTGTATGTCTTCTGAACCCCTTACCAGGTGAGGGGGGTGAGAGATATCCAGAGTCTCCTACCCCCTTTGCTTTGCCCTTACCTGTGGTTTCCTACGGCTCGGTATCTGGTATTTGCCCCACCCCCCCTTCCCAGGTGTGGCGTGGAGGGCGGCGGCGGAGGCACGTGAGCAAGCCGCGACCCGCCGACGGCGAGCCGACGATGCCGCCATGAGGGGTGTCGTACGGATACCCGGCGGAGCCGGCGGGCGGTTGGAAACGGACGTTTTGATCGTTGTGGATAAGGCCCTCAAAGGGGCTGCAGCGCCGTACAAGCGGATCGGGATTGCGGGCGCGTTGTCGTACTTGAGGCGTGTGGGCGGCGCGTTGGCGTTACTGGCGGGGGATAATGAGGGAGGCGGAGATGGAGGCGGAAGCCCGGGGTTTGGTAAGCGAAACATGGGGAACAGCGGGATTGCTTGTGCAATTGTTTCGGTTCCAACCAGCCGCCATTGCGAGTAACCCTTTACACATTGCCCCGCACCCATGGTAAAGCCTTGTCGTACAGCTTGTACTGTTCCCTCCTCTTCTTCCCGACCTCTCCCCCCTCCTCCCCTCCTTCCCTCCGCAGACCTCCTCCTCTCCGAGTGGCGCGGGCGGCTTGACGAGCTGCTAGCTGCCACCGCCAGCTGCAGCGGGGGAGGGGGAGGGGAGTTCAGGGCGGCAGCACTGGGGCGGCTGGCGGACATGATCAGCAGGCCGGCAGGGGGAGCAGGGGGAGGGGCAGGAGGAGGGGTGGCAAAGCCCTGGGGTGCGTTGCTGCCTCAGGAGGCGCTGCAGCACCTGCTGGTGGTGGTGCAGCAGGTGGGGGAGGGAGGGAGAGGGGGAAGGGGAAAAAAAGAAATTCCAAAGTGTGGTATGATAATGATACAAGTTGCTGACAAGGGGAAGGGGAAGGGAGGTGGAAGGGGGGGACTAAGAAGAAGGGACGAGGGAGGGGGCGTGCATGCGGAAGGGTCTTGGAAATAAGGGAGGAAGGGAGGAGGGAGCGGAGAGCCTGTTACGTTTTTCATGCACGCTGCAACAACCCTAAACCCCTACCCTCTGTCTGCACGCTGCGTGTTACCGGTATACGCTGCATGCTGCATGCTTCATGCAGGACCTGTTGGAGCCGGCGTTCGTCACCGGCTACCCCCTGGGTGCTCCGGAAGCAGCGGCAGCAGCCGGGGCCGCATCAGCCGGGGGCCAGTTCTCGCAGCAGCCCTCGCAGCAGCAGGCCCCTCACTCCGGTTCAGCGCAGTCGCAGCAGCAGCAGCCCTCGCAGCTGAGTGGCGGCGAAGGTGGGGGCGGCGGGGAGGCGCCGCCGCAGCAGGTGCCGGAGGTGCGGGTGGCGGGATGCGGCAGGACGTTCAGGTGGGGGTGGGAGGGTGGGAGGGTGGAAGGGTTAACATAAAGGGACTGACGAGGCAGCTAAGAGTTGTGTGCCATGTGGGCTTCACCATGGGCTGCAAAATGGTGGCGGGAGGGGGGGGGAGTGGAGCTGGGGGTTCCGTTATGTGGAGCTATGGCACGAGGAAGGGAGGGTGGGGGAAGTAGATTGCTTGCTAGTTGGTTAACCCTACTGCAGCTTGTTCCAGGGCCCCCCATCCCTCCCGTCCTCCCTGCCACCCCACGACGACGCCAGTTGCTCCTGCTGGCTGAACCTGGACGGAGCGAATACCGATGTGGCAATCAAGGTGAGGAGGAAGGCAGGCGGGAGGAGGGAACTGGGGTGTATGGGAGGAGTGGCACATGATGTGGATATGGCTGGCTGGCTGACAGACTGGCTTCCCCGTATCCGCGCGCACTCGCAAAACGCTGCTTGCTTACGTCAGGGAATGACACCCCTTGCTGTCTCCTCTCTCAGCTCATCCCGCTCTTCCCCCTGACCCCCTCCTTGCTTGCACCCCTCCCGCCCGCTTTCCTCTCTCCCTCTTCCCCCCTCTCCCCCTCCCTCCCTCGCAGCTGTGGCCCCAAGCCGCCAGCTCCTCACCTGCGGAGAGGGACTCGCTCGTATGGATGGCGCCCTGTCTCAGGTGGGGCTCAGGGGGACTCACACCCCGCTTAACGGGGGAGCACTTCGCTTGGATAAATGGCCGCGCAGAGAAAGCTCTAACGCCGCTTCATAGGTAGCAACCCCATAAACCGGACAACCCTACATCCCCTACCCCCCTGGCTCCCCATGCCCTCCCCCCCCACCCTCCCCCCAGTCTGCTGTGCGCCGCCATGCAGCTGCAGTGCGGCGAACTCACCGAGGTGAACGCGCTTCTGGGCTGCCCGCTGGTGATGTTCCCACTGGAGCTGCTGCAGGATGCGCAGGTGGGGGTGGGGGAGGGGTGTGTGGGGGGGGTTGTTGTGTGCGTGCGGGTGGAGCTGTTTGTGACCCCCCTTGCCGCAACCCCTCCTTGCCGCAACCCCTCTTGCCGTGCTCTCTTGCCGTAACCCCTCTTGCCGTACCCCGTCTTGCCGTACCGCCAGGACGTCAACCAGCTTCACGAGCTGCCCGCCAGCGTCTCCGCGGCGGTGCTAACCAGCCTGCAGGTGCGTGTGTGTATGAAGGGGGGGTGGCTGGGGCACTAATCATTCCTTGCTCCAACCGCCCCATGGTTGGTTTCTTTACCGCCCTTTAATTGGTCGTGTTTTTACCCCACCTGCTACCGGTACGGATCCCCCCCCTCCCCCCCAGGCCGCCAGCAGCTACCTGCGGGAGGTCCTCAACTGCTTCGCACCAACAGCGGCTGAGGAGCAGCAAAGGTGTGGGAAAGCCCACACCTTTCTCCCATCATTCCCCCAACCGTGAAGCGAGCATTGCAGGGTACCGGTATGCCCTACGCCTTTCTTGCCCGCTACGGCCCCCCTTCCTGCATGCATGTGCCTGTGTGTGCGAAACCCACACACCACGACCCGCATGTGTGTGTGTGACCCATGGGTCGGTCCCCCTCCCCCCCGCCCGCCCCAAGCAGGAGCCCCAGCCAGGGTAGCGAGCTGCAGGCCAAGCTCTCTCGCCGTGTCGCCCAGCTGGCGCAGCTGGAGGCGCTTGCGGCGGCATTGGCGGACAACCTGCAGCCGCCGCGGGGGGGCCTGGGGGCGATCAGGGTAGGGAGGGGAGGGGGGTGACGCTGGTGAGGAGGATGGCGAACATGCGCAGGCAGCAGCATGCATGAATCTGCGCTTGGTATTGGGTTATGGTAGTAAGAAAGAGCCCGGAAGGCGCTTAGTGTACGGGAACAATCGATGAGGGCGGACGGACACGCTAACCGTGCACCTTCCCATTCCCTCTTTCCTACGCTGCCCTCCTCAGGCCCTCCGAAACCACGCAGATCCCGTGTCAGGGGCCCCACAGCTTCGAGGCCTCGCAGCCACCACCGCCGGCACTGCAGCCGCCTCCAAATCCACCACCGCCGTCGGCTCCAGAAAGGGCCGCGGCGGCGCCGCCGCCGCCGCCGGCGGCGCTTCGGCTTCCGTCGTCGTCAGCACCGCCGCCAGTCGCGCCGTCGCCGCACTCGCTTTCCGTCGGCAGCTCCGACCGTTGTCGCTGGTCGCCGTGTGTGAGGTGCTGCAGCCGTTGCTCAGCGCTCGGCCGCCGGGGGGGTATGCGACGGAGCCCGGCGGCGGCAGCGGTGTGCGGCAGGGGATGGCGGCGGCGGCGCCGGGCAGTCCCCATGAGTGGGGATCTTGGGTTGTGCTGCCCACCAAGTAAGTGCACACGGGTACGATTTATGAACTGGTGCCATGCATGTTTTACAACAACTTGTTTACACAGATTCCGCAGCAGAATAGTAAGTAACCCGTACCGTCCCGCTGCCTCGTTCACTAAAACACCTCGTTCCTCCCATCATACTTCCGCCTCCGCCAGTCTCGCCGGGGCCGCCCTCCTGATGTCAGAACTAGCCGGCAAGGCGGCGGCGGTGACGGCTCGCGCCCGCTCGACTCCCGCATTCGCCCTCAGCGGCCCGGCGGCGGTGGCGGCGGCGGACCCCTCCCTTGAGGGCCTTACGCCGGCAGATCTGGCGGCGAGGCTGGCGGGGCTTATGCCGTATGTACGACGGCATCTCGACTCGGCCACGGCGGCGCTTGCTGGTAGGTGTACAGCGGTGGTGGGGATATGGCTGGGCGGGTGTGAAGGTTTGGGATGAAGCATGTGTACGGTTGGTGGCTAACGTCTGCGTTGTACGGCTTAGAAAAGCAGAGAGTAAGGCTTACTGCATTCTAACCTCACCCTCCTCATTCCCTTGAACTCTCCGGCCAGGTGCCAACGTCGTCGTTGCAACCGCCGCCAACGGCTACCTCAAACCCGGCGCTGACGGCGACGGCAGTCGTACCCTCGCATCTCTGGATGCCGTACAAGCCTCTTTGGATCCGGGCGCTACTGCCGCTCGCTACATGCTAGATTTCCTGGAGCTGATCCGGACCTTCTTTGGGGCTTATGGGCCCGCCGGCGGCGGCGGCGGCAGGGGCAAAGCGGCGGCGGCTGGCGGGGGTGGCGGCCTGGCGGCGCCTCCGGTTGCTGACTTGGCGGCGGCGTTGGCGTGTTTGGCGGCGAGACCTGGGTCCGACGGCATGCCAGGTGGGTGTCACTGACACGCTTTGTAAAGTGTTACCGTTACCGTTACCTGCGTGGGCTGTGCGCTGTGTCAGTTGGCTTTTCGCTGCCTCATATTGGTACCCTGCGTGGTTCGGCTGGTCGCAGACGCGGAGGTGGCTCAGCTGAAGCGACGTGCGGTTCCGACATCTCCGGAGCGGCCCCTGACTGCCGTACAGGTGGGTGCACGTGTGTGTGTTCTATTCTATGGAAGATTGACCGTGTGTGTTTAAAACGCTGGCCGCAAGTCGGAACGTACTGGGTGTGCGTGTGTCTAGTTGACGAGGCAGGTAGGAATCGATCTGTATCGTTGTAAGCCATGTGAGGCCGGAGGGAAATGATTTGACCGCAGAGATACAAGTGTGTATGCTCGTACGTGTTTATAAACAGCCAGCCCGCGTAACGGTACTAACTGTAGTTTGAACCCACCTCTTCCCTCCAGGCGGACTGCCTATGCAAGCTAGCCCTCGCCGCTTACAAGCAACTCAACGCTCAATGCCGGGGAACAGGACCCGCAACGACCGCCGGAACCCCCAACCCTCCCGCGCCCGCCGATGTCTGGCGCCACCTCGCCTTGCTGCGGGCAGGTCGAGCGCTGCTGACGGCTGTACGGCACCTGACGGCGCCGGCGGCGGGCTCTGGCGGAGCTGGTGCCAGTTGCGGCGTCGGCGGCGCCGCCATTGACGGCGCTGACGATGCGTTACGAGTGCTCGCGTCGGCGATCAGTCGCGACGCGAATAGGGCCCTGGAGAACGCCTGGGACGGCTCCGGTGGTGGCGGAGGCGGCGGCGCCGCCGCCGCCCTTGACGGCGGTGCCGAGGGAGAGGAAGACGACGCGGATGAGGATGTTGAAGCGGCGGCCGCCGGCGGGGGTGGCGGCGCCGCCGGCGCTGGCGGCGGCGGCGGTTCCTTCCGTTGGCGTGGTCAGGCCAAGTTGATCTGCGAGCTGTTGCGAACGTATGTGGAGTTGTCGGAACGGCCACTGGATGTACTACAGCAGATCGTGGAGGGTGTACTGCCGGAGGTACCGAGCGGCAAGGTACGACACAAAGCCATGCCATACGGCACATACACAGACCGTCCGAAAAGTGGCACATTGTCCGGCAAGGGTCACTCTACCGGTACGCCGCCCTAGTCCAACCTAGCAACCCCGGCCCCTCTTCCCTCTTCCCCACCGCAGCCCCCCGGCGGCGCCCGAGGCGCCTCCGCCTCCGCCGCCGTCAGCGCTCCGGTGGCTGGGTACGCCTCATTGAGCGAGGCGACGCTGGTAGCCTGGTACCGCGGCGTGTGGGAGGTGCTGGGGGAGGTGTGGGGCGGGGTGTGCGGGCGCATGCGGGCGGCGGAGCGGCGGGTGGGCGGGCAGGAGGAGGTGAGGCGGGTGGGGGGGAGGGCGCGCAAGGGATTTGTGGTAGGAGGGTGAGGGGGGTTGCATGGTCGCCAGCTTGCTGCGGATCCTGCGCCCTGGCAGCTGCCTTGCTTCCCTCAACCCTCCACCGGCTGGGTCCCAGCCCTCACCCCGCTCCTTCTTTATCCTCATACCGCCTGCCTGCCTGCTGCTCCTTCCGCCCTCCCCTCTTCACCCTCACCCCGCCTCCCCACCTGCCCCCCCCCCAGGAGGACGACCTCATCTCCTCCGCCTCCACCTGCGCCTCCCTCTTCTCCTGCCTGCTGCACCTGCTGAGGCAGCACCCGCAGCGCACGCCGCTCATCGGAACAGCAATCAAGTGCGGCGGCAAATTTGTGGAGGTGAGGGCAGAATGGGGGTGAGATGAATGCATGAACGCAGAGGGACTTGGATGCTGGCCTACCTACCTGCATGCATGCATGGAACCTTTTCCAGTGCGAGCTCATGTTCCGGGCGAGGGGGAGCGCGTGCGTGGGGCCGGCGCCCTACGTTCCTCCTCACTCTCATCCCCTCGTAATCCCTATTTCCACCTCACCCCCCTTCACGCCTTTCCCCGGTTGTACCACTTCGTTCTCCTTTACAGTACCCCGCCCCCACATCCCCTTCCCTCATTCCCTCCCCCCCCCACCTCTCCTCCTGCCGCCTCCTATCCCCATTGCTTTGCCCTAACTTGTGGTTTCATATGGTTCGATATGGTCTTTGACCCCCCCACCTCTTCTCACTGCCCACAGGACTTGCAGCGCAGCACGGGCGCCTGGAGGGGCTTATGGCCGCGGCACGAGGAGCGCCTGCGCGGCACCGTGCGGCGGGTGCAGCGGGGCACCCGACTGCTCAATGCGCTGTGTGCGGACGGCAAGGAGCGGCGGGCGGTTGCCATCACGAAGAAGGTACCCGGCGTGAAGAGAGCGATCGAGGCGTTCATGCTCAACATGCGGGCGCTGTTTCATGAGGTGGGAAGGGGGCGGTGGTTGGGGGAGGTGGTTGGGGGCGGTGGTTGGCAGGCAGTACTGAAGTGCACGATGACGGGGTGTCTGGCGGTAGAGTGTAGGGAGTGGTAGTGTAAGGTGTACGGGGTTCTTGAGGCCGGTTTGCGCTGCTGCTACATAATGGGACGTGAGGCTAGATGACGATATAGCTACTCATGCGCATATTTGTTGGTTGTCCAGCCCGCCTCCTGTCCCAGAGATCCCCTACTGCTGCGCCCGTGTTATTGACCGTTCTCCACCCAGGGGGGGGTAAGAAATTTATATATAAACCCCATGATGAATTTTTGAAAGGGTAGGTCCCGGGACCACCCACCCACCCCTGGCGTACGGCAAGCATGTCGTACAATGTGTAAACTTCGCCAAAACGCCCGGGAAAAAAGCTGCTAGACTCCTCTGCTTAAGCTCTATTTAGTGCTAAACAAATACCCAGAACCCCCTTGGGAGGCGGGCAGAAAACTACCACCGCCACGTCCCCGACCCTGGCCCCTGCCTCCTCTTCCCCCTGTCACGCAACGCCTTAGACCACTACCCACGGCGCCACTTCCCACATCCACATCATCTTGCATCCCTCACTCCATTCCCTCGTCTGCTGCTGCTGCTACACCCGGTGCTTTCGTTGGTGCCGTGCTGAAGCACCTTCCCCCGAACCCGCGAAATATCCCCTTTACAGCCGCTGCTGCTCTTGAGTGCTGCAATGCGACCCTCAGCCATGTGACACAACCTGTCGCGCTTAAGAACTGAGTGGAACTTCTCCCTGATAACTGCGTGAAGCTCCGCCAGCTTTTCATCGGGGTGGGCGTGCTGCAGATGATCCGGGTTGTTGTACCACACGCTCCACATGACCTTCGTGATACGATGCACATGCGGTGCACACAACTCGACGCGTTCGCGACCTCCGCTTCTGCTTCTTTCTCTAAACGTTGTTTCTTATATGTTAGGGCAAGTTGGGAATCAGGCGGTTCCATTTGGGCTACTGTAGTTCAGACCTGAAGCGTCATCGGACCCATGAGAAGCTGAAAAATGTACCTTTTGTTGCTGTAACTAGTTATATACATAAGAGATGAAGAAAGGAATACAACACTGCTTTTAGAACTCTCACCAGAGGCCTGGCAAAAAAGTTCCGACGTTTCATCTAAAAAAGTCGTTGAGGCACCGGACCCACCCACCCACCCCTGCCGTACGATCAACTTTGCAAGCCCGTAATTTTTTCAGTACAACTCCAAACAGAATTCTGAAAGCGGATTCGGAATCCCCACGCTAAGCTCCTTTAATTTGGATCTTGGGGTCTATTTTTGCAGTTACTACCCCCCCCCCTGCTCCACCCCATTATTCCTGGCGTCCTAACGCCGCGCTTCCTGCCGCACTCAGATGGGCTGCGCGGAGGGTATTCGCATTGCCCAGCTCAGGAACAAGGACCTGCACGGAAATGAGGTGCCCTCGCAGGTATGCGTTCCGCTGCACCCGGTGTACCCGATTGAGTGGATTCGTGTGTTAAGAAAGTCGTGTGTGTGGGGATGCTGACGAGCAGGGATGTTGTCGTCATGGGCTTGCTTTGATTGTCCTGTGATTGTCCTGCAGGCGTACGACGATGACAATGACGCCGGCGGCTACTACGATGCGGATGCGGATGCTGACGTGGACGCTGACGCGGACGGCGGGGAACAGCAGCACCCTCAACCTCCGCCTCCGCAACCGAAGAAACGTGGTCGGAAGCCCAAGGCCGCGGCGGCAGCGGAAGGGAGCCAACCGGGAGCCGCCGCCGCTGCTGGTGTTGGGGGTGGCATCGACGGCGACGCCGAAGCTGACGGCGGCAAGGCTCCGAAACGCAAGAAACCACGAGGAGCCCGAGCCGCCGCCGCTGCCACCGCCGGGGAGGCCGATGGCGGTGAAGGTGAAGATGCCGCCGCGGCTCCGCCGGCGGCTCGTAAGAGAACACGGAAGCCCAAGGCTGGTTCCGCCGCCGCCGCCGCGGCGGCAGCAGCGGCATCGGCAGCGGCGGCGGCTGAAGATGGTGATGGCGGCGGTGATGCCCAACCTGCGGACGACGACGACGGCGCTGCTACCGGTGCCGGCGGCAGTCGTCGAGGTGGCAGCGGTGGCGGCTCAAGAAAGCGAGGGCCCGGGGGAGGGGGTGTACCTGAGGACCCGCCGCAGGTGAAGGAGGAGGCACTGGAAGACGAGGCGGGGCCGATGGGGCCGGCGGAGGTACGGCAGTCAGGCAAGCGGGCTCGTACGGCAGCGGATGTACGGCCTCGGAGCCGCGCCGCCGCTAAGAAGAGCACGGGCGCCGCCGCCGCTGGCGGGCGTGGCAGCGGCGGAGGAGGTACGGCGGGAGGGAGCATGTACGACAATCGTGATGACGTCGGCGGTAGCGATGGTGAACAAGCCCGAGGTGAGGACGCGGTGGCGGCGGATGAGGATGAGGACGAGGAGATGTACGGAGAATTGCATAATGGGAATCGTGGTGGTGGTGGCGGTGGTTTTTACGGCAGTGGTTTGTATGGTAACGGCGGCGAGGAGGAGGAGGAGGAGGAGGAGCAGCAGCAGGAGGAGGGTCTTGGAGGGGCATATCAGGGGCGCAGGGGCGACAGGACGCGGCAGGAGGAGGAAGAGGAGGAGGCAGTCGAAGAGGATGCAAGGGATGGTGGGAATGGTGGCTATGGGTACGGGGGCGGGTACGGTTACGGGGGCGGGGAAGAGGAGGAGTACGAGGAGGAGGAGGATGACCGGGAGGTGTGAGAAGTCCGACAACGACGGAACCGGGATGACGATGAGGACAAGGAGGAGGAGGAGTTTAAGGGCGTGGGCAACATTGCGAACCGTGCTTTTAGACAGGCAGGACTAACAGCAGTACCTAACCGGCTAGAGTGTGCGCACAATCGACAATCGACAACCATGCATGTGTCTCGGCGAGCGAACGGGTGAGCGAGCGAGGGATCCAACAGGGAAGTATGGTATTGCCAAAGGTACGGGGGCGTAGGCACGAGGCGGGGGACTCCTGCGGGGTGCATGTGGCGTGGGCATGGGCAGGCTGTGGGCATGGGGGCGGGATGGGCCGTACCGCTGCACGCTGTGTGATTGCTGCGCTTGCCCACAGCGATTGTTGTCCTCGCTATCCCTCGAGAGGATGCAGTCTGGATCTACCTGAACTAGCCTAGTCACTCACGCATTGCGTACGGAAGCGGTGCGACTCGAGACTCGTGCGACTTTTGCCGTTTGCATGAGTTTGCCGTATGTGCGGCTTGTTGATAAGTTGAGCTGCAGCCAAGGAGGAGCGCTCTGCTACGGGCAAGCCGTCGGCGAGGACCCATGGGTCACCCTGCGTGCGAACAATTGTATCTTCTTCTCCTTTATCTTACAAAGGACATGTTGTTGTTTTGCGCACCTCAAACCGCATGCGCTCATCCTATGTACATTGGTTGCGTCCATCGGGACACCAGGGTAAAAGCCACATGGTCAACCGTGATGTCTAATGTACGGCATGCACCTTCATATAAGTACTGAAGTCCCCCGAAAAGGTAACGTGTGTTGCAGCCACCCCCTTCCTCTTGCGTGGCTTCTGACACTGTGTTGCCACCATCAATCGAAGCATGCTTGCTTGAACACCTGTCCTTCCTCCCCAATCACGTGCAGCTCGCAAAGCCTCACACCAATTGCTTGACATCATGATTTATAAGTAATAAGTAAGCTAATTGAAGCTTGAGAAAGCATGACACATGAACACATAACTCGCGGCCATTTTTCTTAACACCGATTGACTGCCCACACACATCGTTTGACTGTCTGTACGGGAACCTCACAGTTCACCAATGTGATGTCCCGTAATGGCTCTCTGCAGCACACAGCGAAAGACAACCCCCGAGACATTGTCATGCCCTTTCTTATCTTATGGTTATTCTCTGACGGACCCCCGACCTCCAACGACAACGACTGGGGCCTCTACCATTCCTTCGCGTCCGGGTCATGCATTGCATGCAGCCTTGCAACGTACCTCCTGCAAATAGCGGCCCGCTTGACCAGCATGACCGTTCTTGAGCACTGAACGCGAATTAACAACACTTCCAATTACTAACACCCTTCCAAGCTACACTGCGTCTTAACCCGCAATGCCGTACGTCTCCTCCATGACACAAATGCACGCAACATCATCAGGTGTCAGGTGCGCACCCCCCCCACAATCAACGAAATCAGCAAAAGCACAGCATACCGCCGCCACCCCCATGGACAGGTATATCGACTAGGTTGTCCTGTTCCGCTTACTATCTGTCCGCTGTAATCTTCAACCTACCCAGACTCACTCACAAACTGCGCATACGTCCTTGATATCGGCCATGTCAAGCCTGTTCGTCCTTTATCATGTCGTCCTTTGAGTTTCATTACCATGCCCGGTGCCCTTGCCCAGTGGCAAGTTGCCACTAACCCAATGAAATTACTAATGCCGCAAAATCCTGCCGTATACTTGACGAGCCGTACACCAAAATCCTGCCGTACATCGGACAGCAGGTCGTACATTGACTGTACTGCACATACGACATTACCATTACCATACGATTTTGGATCCTGGCCTGTACTTCAGGCGCTTCACGTGTTCGCCGCTGCTGCCACTCATTCAACAGTTGGCCGCAGCTACATTCGTTGCTGCACAAACCCCGCAAGAAGTCCGTTCGTTGCGACAACCGTTTCTAGCAGTGTAGGATTGAGCTCCTCGTCGCCCTTGTTGTCTCACTGCTGGGAAGCACTGTAACGCTTACCCATTAAGCAACAGGCCCAGGTACAGCAGCAGCAGCAGCGGTCTCAGCTGCCGCCTTCTGCCCCTGTCCCTGCCCCTGCTTCCCCGCCGCTGCAGCCCCCCTCTGCTGCTGGCCCCTCTCCGCCGCCTCCGCACGCTGCTCCGCCATCTCCCGCCTCAGCTCCGCCACCTGCGCCCGCTGTTCCGCAAGCGCTACTCGAAGCTCAGCTAGCTGCAGCTGGTGCCGTACCTCCCGCAACTGACCCGACAGACTGGACACCTGCTGAGATAGTTCGGAAACATCAGCTGAATCCTGCTGCCGCTGCTGCCGCTGCTGCTGCTGCTGCTGCTGCTTCTCCTCCTGCTGTTGTTGCGGCGCCGCCGGCGTTGCGGTTTGGGCCGACGGCTGCGGTGCATTCAAGGCAGCTTGCGTTGCTTCTGTGGGGCTGCATGTAGGCGCATGCGGCGTGTCAGTGGCTGCGGGAGTTGCTCCCGCTGCGGTTGCCGCTGCGGTTGCAATGGCAGACGGGGCTGAGCCCGTGGTGTCCATGGGGAAAACTGCTGCGGCTGCAGCTGGGGAAGGCTGCCGTCGGACCTGAGACGGCTTCCTTCGAGACGGACGGATACGCGGCGGCGACGTTGACGACTTAGGCGGTGTCATGTCGGCAGCTAGAGCTGCTGACGGCGCCGCCGCTGACGGTGCGGCATTCGCAGCAGCAGCTGCAGCAGCGGTGGATGTTGTGGTGGTGGTGGTGGCGGCGGCAGATGCGAGCGCCGCAGTGCGCCGTCGGCGCAACACCTCTAACGCCGCCGCGAAGGCTAGGGCCTCCTGACCGTTGTTGATGTTCACATGCAGCGGCGGAGGCTGCTGTGGCTGCTGCGGCTGCTGCTGTTGTTGTTGCTGCAGGGGCGGCGGCGGAGGGGCGGCTGATGCGTCGGTAGAAGAGTTAGGGGGCTGTTGCCTGGTTGGCGACCGTTGCAGCTGCTTAAGCAAGAGAAGGATCTGATCCGCACACAGATTAGTTCCAGCTTGCCGCTGATCACGCTGGGGCAGCTGAGGGGCCGCCGTCAGCATCGCCGCCACCGCCGCCTCCGTCTCCACCGGTGCCGGCTTCAGCATCAGTGCCGGCCGCGGCCGCGGCTTCGGTTTGCGCAGCTGCTGCGCCTCCAGGGCCTTAGTCATGGCGCTCAGCGCCTCCGCCGTCGCCGCGTCGGACGCGCCTCCGCCGCCGCTGCTGCGAGCCTGGTGCAGCACGTAACTTGCAAGGTCCGTCGCACCTGCTGCCTGCAGGGCTCGCGTCAGTCGCAGCGCTGTTTGGACGTCCGCAGGCGCCGTAGGAGCCGCCGTTGAGGAAGGCGCGGCGGCATCAGATGCCGGCACAGTCGCAGGCGCAGGCGCAGGGTCGGTTAAGAGTGAGGGCGCAAGTGGGACGGCGACGGCGACGGTGGCAGCGGTGTTATCGGGAACGGGCGGGTTTGAGGACTTGACTCGCCGGGACGGTGGCTCGTCTCCTGCGGTGGCGGAGGCAGCTCTAGCAGCACCAGCAGCAGCAGCAGCAGCAACAGGCTCCGTTGGTTCGTGAAGACTCCTCTTGCGCTTCACTTGCAGCGCCTCTTGCAGTCGTTGTTGCTGTGGGTTCTGCTGCGTCGGCGTTGTCAGCTGCAGCTGCGGCGGGGACTGTCCGTTCTGCCGCTCACATGCAGCCTCTGCGGCTGGGGCTGCGGCTGGGGGCCGTTGCTGCTGCTGCTGCTCTTGCTGCTGTTGTCCCTCCTGCTTCGGTTGCGGTTGCTGTTGCTGCATAAGCTGTTGCTTATGTCGCCGACGGAACGCCTCCAAGACCTGGCCCGCATGCCCAGCCGGCACTCCAACGCAGACGTAGGTCGTGGCATCGTGACCCGCCGCCGCCGCCGCCGCTGACGCCGCTGCTCCCGGATTCCGGACGGCACCACCGCCGTTTGGCTGAGTCGTGGGGCAGCGTGGGGAGCCGCCGCAGCCGCCGGGGGCGGCTGCAGTCGACGGCGACGAACGCATTGACGCAGGCGAATGGAGCGGCGGAGGCACGGGCGACGGCGAGGGAGGGAGCGGCGGAAGGGGCAGCGCTCCATTGGGCGGCAGCAGCGGCGGCGCCTTGGTTGGGTTCTGGGGCCTCACAGCAGTAACGCCAACATCGGAGGCATCTGCAGGA